GGATAGAGGATAGAGTTTTGAGAGAGAGAGGGGGAGAGGATAGATGGAAAGGTAAGAGTAATGGTGAGAGGGAATGGGTGGAAGGATGGACAGAAGGATAGGCGAAAGTGACTTATGAAAGGGACGGGGATAGTGAAAATGAGGAGATAGAGGGAAGTTGAAAGTGACGGGCAAGAAGGAAAGTGAGGAATAGACGAGGGAGGAAGAAACCTAGCTGGCCGGAACTGCCGATTGGAAAGCTCAATAAATCCGGCTAAAGATGACTATTTCTCCCTGCCATCCGGCCGCCTCTTCAGACCGGCCGGAGCCGGACCGCGAAAGGGAAACGAAGATGGAACAGGGAAGCCGAGAAAGGAAGAGGAATTGGGGAAACTAAGGGACATTAAATTACAGGAAATGACGTAATAGAACACTAGAACAAGTGTCAACAAACCAGGATGAATGTAATTCGGTTAATCAAACCGGATATAAACGAGTCTGAAATGCAGCTAAATGTGGCTAGTTGAATGGAATAGGGGAGGAAAAGATGGAGGATAAACGAATGCAAAGTTAAATAGAAGCTAACAATTTAGGAAATAAAAAAGAAATAGCCACAAAGGAAGGGAGTACTAGCCATAAGGAGAGAGGAGAGAGAGTACTTCATATCGTAGCGCTGGTCTAACGTAGGTTGAATACAACGCTCTGAAGAACTCTCTTTTTTCAAGGATCTTGAAAAATAATCAAAATTTCACCCTTTTCAATGGCTCGTGGTTCAATCAATTCATTGGTTCATGACTCAACCAATCACTGAGGGCTGTGGGCTCACCAATCAACCAATCACAAATCATCTTTCACCACAAGGCTGGCCCAATCGACAATCCTCTTCGGAATTTCAGGCAACCACCAATTTCCATTTCCAAACGCCTCAGCCAATCGCATTTCACTTTCTCACGCACCTAAGCCAATAATTGGTCGACGTCCTTAATTCCTCCTCCAATCAGCAAGACCCATTTCTTAGATCTCGATCGAGTCAGCCAATCAGCGAAGGATATTAAAAAAACGCAATAAGGGGATGATAAAGAATGATGAATATGGTGATAGTGAAGATGATGATAGTGATAATGAAGGTGAAGTCGATAACGGGTTGATTGTGATTTTGTCACACACTATTTCGTTATTTCATTCAGATAATAGAGCGACGGTCTCGCTTCATACAGGTCCGAGTTCAATCCCCGACCGTCCAAGTTTTTGGGGCACCATTCCTTCCTCCCGTCCCATCTCAAATCCTTATCCTGATCCCCTTCGAAGTGCTATATAGTCGTAATGGCTTGGCGCTTTCCCCCTGACCGTTCCCTTCAGACAATAATCACGTGTTCACTCTATAATCTCTATAACTAATGTATAACAAAAGTTTACTCAAAAGTAAACTCTCTAACATTTATCAGCATTTAATACATCAGATGAACCTTTTTTTCTGTTATATTAAAAAGCTTTTTTTAGCATGAGAAAAAAATCATGTTTTGTTCACTTGATCAAAAAGATTTTAACATAGTTTTTAATGTATTTTAACCCCTAGTTAACCCTAAAGACCTTTGTAAAACAAAATGCAAATTAGTATGAAGAGATGTGGAGGAGGATGTTGTTCGCTACTTGGAACAAAAAGTTCCAAGTAGCACGGGCTATGGTGAGCCCGTAACTTACCTGGCACAGGAGCGGGGCAAGTAGCACGGGCTATGGTGAGCCCGTAATATACCTGGCACAGGAGCGGGGCAAGTAGCACGGGCTATGGTGAGCCCGTAACTTACCTGGCACAGGAGCGGGGCAAGTAGCACGGGCTATGGTGAGCCCGTAACTTACCTGGCACAGGAGCGGGGCAAGTAGCACGGGCTATGGTGAGCCCGTAACTTACCTGGCACAGGAGCGGGGCAAGTAGCACGGGCTATGGTGAGCCCGTAGTGGACTTACCTGGCACGGGAGCGAGGCTGTAACTTATGGTGCTCTGCTGTCAGTTACTTATAACTGGACTACCTGTCATTAGCTGCTTCCTGCAAGACAGGCAGACAGTCTGCCTATTATTAACCGTCTCCTCGAAGCACTTAGGTACTAACTGGCCGTCTGCCCAGTTCCCAGAAGACGTACACGTGATTAAGAATCCTCCCAGGGTTCGAAACCTTCAAGCTTGGACTCTAAGGTTGCGACAATTTCATTCTCTCAATTTCAGACCCTGAATTCCATGCCATGAATTCAAGACGCCCAATTTTTAGTCTCCCTGAATTCTGGAATTTCAGTTTTCCGTCCACAATTCAACATATTATTGGGTAAAGGCTCCACACCTGTGCTTGCCCCTGTGACCATGTCTCGTATTTTTGCTGCAGTAAAAATTTGCTCAATTCGGCTGTTCAGAAAATTTCTCCTTTGAGGTTATTGGTGAGAGGAAGTTGGAATCTGGGCTCCTGCTGCAGGAGTGTGTGAGAGAAATACAGAGTGAAGGGGTCCAGGCTTGCCATTCAGAAGATTCTGAATGTCGCCTGATGGAGGTTTGCCAGTCAGGAGTTACTCTGTGGGGGGAGGTTTTTACCACTCAGAAATTGCTATCTGAGGTTTGTACACTCAGAAGTAGTTACTGTCTGATGGAGAATTATCACTCAGAAGTAGTTACTGTCTGATGGAGAGTTGTCACTCAGAAGTAGTTACTATCTGATGGAGAATTATCACTCAGAAGTAGTTACTATCTGATGGAGAGTTGTCACTCAGAAGTAGTTACTATCTGATGGAGAGTTGTCACTCAGAAGTAGTTACTATCTGATGGAGAGTTGTCACTCAGAAGTAGTTACTATCTGATGGAGAATTATCACTCAGAAGTAGTTACTATCTGATGGAGAATTATCACTCAGAAGTAGTTACTATCTGATGGAGAGTTGTCACTCAGAAGTAGTTACTATCTGATGGAGAGTTGTCACTCAGAAGTTACCAGTGCCTCTGAGTTACTCTCTCAACACTACACGTTACTGAAACTTAAGGATTTCCATCCTTTAATAATAATACAGCCAAGTGTTTCAAGTAATTTAAGCTAGTAAAAAAAAATTCTGGCCATTTAGGTTAGTAAAAACAAATATTTCTAACATACCACACTAGCAACAGCAAATGTTTTTGGCATTTTAAGCTATTAAAACCCAGTTTTTCTAGCATTTTAAGCTATTAAAACCAAGTTTTTCTAGCATTTTAAGCTATTAAAACCAAGTTTTTCTAGCATTTCAAGCTATTAAAACCCAGTTTTTCTAGCATTTTTAAGCTATTAAAACCCAGTTTTTCTAGCATTTTAAGCTATTAAAACCAAGTTTTTCTAGCATTTTAAGCTATTAAAACCCAGTTTTTCTAGCATTTTTAAGCTATTAAAACCCAGTTTTTCTAGCATTTTAAGCTATTAAAACCAAGTTTTTCTAGCATTTTAAGCTATTAAAACCCAGTTTTTCTAGCATTTTAAGCTATTAAAACCCAGTTTTTCTAGCATTTTTAAGCTATTAAAACCAAGTTTTTCTAGCATTTTAAGCTATTAAAACCCAGTTTTTCTAGCATTTTTAAGCTATTAAAACCCAGTTTTTCTAGCATTTTAAGCTATTAAAACCAAGTTTTTCTAGCATTTTAAGCTATTAAAACCCAGTTTTTCTAGCATTTTAAGCTATTAAAACCCAGTTTTTCTAGCATTTTTAAGCTATTAAAACCAAGTTTTTCTAGCATTTTAAGCTATTAAAACCCAGTTTTTCTAGCATTTTAAGCTATTAAAACCAAGTTTTTCTAGCATTTTTAAGCTATTAAAACCCAGTTTTTCTAGCATTTTTAAGCTATTAAAACCCAGTTTTTCTAGCATTTTAAGCTATTAAAACCAAGTTTTTCTAGCATTTTAAGCTATTAAAACCCAGTTTTTCTAGCATTTTAAGCTATTAAAACCCAATTTTTCTAGCATTTTTAAGCTATTAAAACCAAGTTTTTCTAGCATTTTAAGCTATTAAAACCCAGTTTTTCTAGCATTTTTAAGCTATTAAAACCAAGTTTTTCTAGCATTTAAGCTATTAAAACCAAGTTTTTCTAGCATTTTAAGCTATTAAAACCAAGTTTTTCTAGCATTTTTAAGCTATTAAAACCCAGTTTTTCTAGCATTTTAAGCTATTAAAACCAAGTTTTTCTAGCATTTTAAGCTATTAAAACCAAGTTTTTCTAGCATTTTAAGCTATTAAAACCCAGTTTTTCTAGCATTTTAAGCTAGTAAAACCCAGTTTTTCTAGCATTTTAAGCTATTAAAACCAAGTTTTTCTAGCATTTTAAGCTATTAAACCCAAGTTTTTCTAGCATTTTAAGCTATTAAAACCAAATATTTAAAAAAAATTTAGCTAATAAAACAAGTGTTTCTAGCAGTTTAGGTTAATAAAACTGTTTCCTATAACATCTATTACAAAAATAATCATATAAGCTTTTAACAAATAAAATTACCACCTTAAGTACACACAGAGAAGAGATTCAAAGGAAGAAGAGGCTTCATCTCTCCTTACAAGAGAAAAGTAAGAATCTCTTCTTACAAGAGTAAGAATCTCCTCTTACCATGTCTCACACCGTATTCCAGACACCCCGGCCACTCCAGACACCAGACACGACGTTTGTTATCGATTCTTGGGGCGTTCCAGGAGGCTGCTGGAGTCTCCTGTAGGCAAACCGTTGCTGGAATAAATTGTCAGTTGGGGGAGGAACCAGACGTCGACGGATCCAGTTATAGACTGGAAAAGGACTTTATTACTCGTTAAAGAGGTTTACAGCTATTTTGGGGATCGATCTCGTCTCTCGAATTCCATAATTACGGTTTTCCAGGCTGTGTGAACTCGTAGAGCTCTGGAATTCCATGATATATGTGTTCCAGACCTGGAATATCTAAAGCCAAGAGAAGTGGCTGCTTGAAGGTGTAGTAGTCGAGAAGGAGTGCTAGCATATGGCTTAGCGAAGGGCTGAGATGAACTGGAGGAAATCCTGGATTAAAGTGTTCCATGTCTGAGGTCTTCAAGGGTTTGGTACTTGTAGCCTTGGAGGGCTGTAGTCTTGGAGGGCTGTAGTCTTGGAGGGCTGTAGCCTTGGAGGTCTGTAGTCTTGGAGGGCTGTAGCCTTGGAGGTCTGTAGCCTTGGAGGGCTGTAGCCTTGGAGGGCTGTAGCCTTGGAGGGCTGTAGCCTTGGAGGGCTGTAGCCTTGGAGGTCTGTAGTCTTGGAGGGCTGTAGCCTTGGAGGTCTGTAGCCTTGGAGGGCTGTAGCCTTGGAGGGCTGTAGCCTTGGAGGGCTGTAGCCTTGGAGGGCTGTAGCCTTGGAGGGCTGTAGTCTTGGAGGGTTGTAGTCTTGGAGGGCTGTAGCCTTGGAGGGTTGTAGTCTTGGAGGGCTGTAGTCTTGGAGGGTTGTAGTCTTGGAGGGCTGTAGTCTTGGAGGGTTGTAGTCTTGGAGGGCTGTAGTCTTGGAGATCTGTACCCTTGGAGGGCTGTACCCTTGGAGGGCTGTAGTCTTGGAGATCTGTACCCTTGGAGGTCTGTACCCTTGGAGGTCTGTACCCTTGGAGGTCTGTACCCTTGGAGGTCTGTACCCTTGGAGGTCTGTACCTTTGGAGGGCTGTACCCTTCGACGCCTGAAGCCTTCGAAAAGTTAATGCTTGCTACTGAAGCCTCCATTTATAACAGGAAATTACCGATAACAGACCCAACAAAAAAGAGATTCGTAGTCCTCTTCTGCTTTCTGTATGTTGCACGAATTTTTGTAGCGAAATTTCCTCGCTGGAATAGGGGGATTGATCTTGGTTCCAGCAGCTCCAGGAAGGGATCCATTTCGGACCGTCTGGATGGGGCTCCGGGCTAGTTTAAGGACCGTTACCAAGAGATGAGACTAATTAAAAGTCCTGGAAATTGCCTAGAGGAGATGGAACCCGCGATGCTTCGGGGAGATAAGTGATGAGTAGCAGATGATGATGGGTGATGAGGCAAGGGGGGGGGGGGGATGGGGAAAATTTTGTGGGAGCTGGTCGGCCGAGCGGACAGCACGCTGGACTTGTGATTCTGTGGTCCCGGGTTCGATCCCAGGCGCCGGCGAGAAACAATGGGCAGAGTTTCTTTCATCCTATGCCCCCTGTTATCTAGCAGTAAAATAGGTACCTGGGTGTTAGTCAGCTGTCACGGGCTGCTTCCTGGGGTGGAGGCCTGGTCGAGGACCGGGCCGCGGGGACACTAAAGCCCGAAATCATCTCAAGATAACCACCCTATGCCCCTGTTACCTAGCAGTAAAATAGGTACCTGGGAGTTAGTCAGCTGTCACGGGCTGCTTCCTGAGGGTGGAGGCCTGGTCGAGGACCGGGCCGTGGGGACACTAAAGCCCCGAAATCATCTCAAGATAGCCTCAAGATATCTCAAGATAACATCTATAGACGTTAATGTTGATTACTATGGAGCCGATCATTCTGGAATGGTGATAACTGTTGGGGTGAGGATGGTGATGATTAGCAGTAGATGATTGGGGATTCTGTTGAGTAGATATTGATTCATCTATTTCGAGTCAGTCCGACCAGTCTCTCAGTCCCATATTTACACTCGATCAAAGCCACATATTAACTCTACTAATAGCCAAAAGACCCACCTTTCTATCTATTTACCAACTTGTTGACCTGCTGCATGGGTAACAGCTTCTCCTCCATATCAACCTACCCTGGCTTTGTGCCCTGGAGAGGCCACTCCAGACCGAAACTCCATAGTCTCCTGAGACTGATGGATACCTACTGCTACCAAACGGCATGCTATCACTCTATCATCCACTCTCCTCCATCCACACCATTTGGGGCTATCTTGAGGTTATCTTGAGATGATTTCGGGGCTTTTTAGTGTCCCCGCGGCCCGGTCCTCGACCAGGCCTCCACCCCCAGGAAGCAGCCCGTGACAGCTGACTAACACCCAGGTACCTATTTTACTGCTAGATAACAGGGGGCATAGGATGAAAGAAACTCTGCCCATTGTTTCTCGCCGGCGCCTGGGATCGAACCCAGGACCACAGGATCACAAGTCCAGCGTGCTGTCCGCTCGGCCAACCGGCTCCCCAATTCGTCAAATATTTCGAATATGCAGAATAGTTAAAAAGCAACGCTAGTACTTACAACAAGGCCAGAACGCCGGCGGGGGTTGAGGAGTTAGAGTTCACTATCCCCTAGCCATTAATAGGTCAGTACATCCCCAACTATGCTTCCTCCCTCACTCTCCACCATATACTGAAAGGACATTACACCTTTAACCGCCTGGGTACGTATTTTCATATTCATTTTACGCCGTCAGTCATTACATGAAACTGTAATTACCCAATAGAGTGCCTCTGGTTGTGGCAACGATGAGGGCCTTCAAATGAGGGGGTTGTGTGAGTGCCTCTTCACACTCACAGTGAGGAACGGTAGGTTTTCTCCATTTGTGATCTGATTTCCTCTTGAGTTTCCAGATTATAGACAAGTTCCTGCGGATATCCAGCAGCTGTCTGGGACCTTTGGGGGGAGGATGGAGGGGCAGGATTTCCTGGAAGCAGCAGAGTTGTAGGATGGAATACCCTCTCTTACCCCTCTATTACCCTCTATTACCTTCTATTACCCTCTATTCTGTGCAGCGAACAGGTTATTTATAATTGCAATTATGAGGTTTCTTGCTGTCTATCTTGTAGAAGTAGTCAAGGGCTCCTCCCAATGTCAAGAAAACGGTCAATTGAAAGTAGTCTCTCCTAACCGGCCAGAGGACCCACAACAGAAAACGGGACAGTACGTCACTTTCGCCAGCCGCTGCTGTTTTCTAGTACGATAATTTTTTGGGCCTTTTGTAACGCATACGAGCGAAATGCGACGTTCTTTGTAGGAGGACAGGTTGTAGGAGGACAGGTTGTAGGAGAACAGGTTGTGGGAGGACAGGTTGTAGGAGGACAGGCTGTAGGAGGAAAGGTTGTGGGAGGACAGGTTGTAGGAGGACAGGTTGTAGGAGAACAGGTTGTAGAAGGACAGGTTGTAGGAGGACAGGTTGTAGGAGGACAGGTTGTGGGAGGACAGGTTGTAGGAGGACAGGTTGTAGGAGAACAGGTTGTGAGAGGACAGGTTGTAGGAGGACAGGTTGTAGGAGGACAGGTTGTATGAGGACAGGTTGTAGGAGGACAGGTTGTAGAAGGACAGGTTGTACGAGGACAGGTTGTAGGAGGACAGGTTGTACGAGGACAGGTTGTACGAGGACAGGTTGTGGGAGGACAGGTTGTAGGAGGACAGGTTGTGGGAGGACAGGTTGTAGGAGGACAGGTTGTGGGAGGACAGGTTGTGGGAGGACAGGTTGTGGGAGGACAGGTTGTAGGAGGACAGGTTGTAGGAGGACAGGTTGTAGGAGGACAGGTTGTAGGAGGACAGGTTGTAGGAGGACAGGTTGTGGGAGGACAGATTGTGGGAGGACAGGTTGTAGGAGGACAGGTTGTGGGAGGACAGGTTGTAGGAGGACAGGTTGTAGGAGGACAGGTTGTAGGAGGACAGGTTGCGGGAGGACAGGTTGTAGGAGGACAGGTTGTAGGAGGACAGGTTGTAGGAGGACAGGTTGTAGAAGGACAGGTTGTACGAGGACAGGTTGTAGGAGGACAGGTTGTAGAAGGACAGGTTGTGGGAGGACAGGTTGTAGGAGGACAGGTTGTAGGAGGACAGGTTGTAGAAGGACAGGCTGTGGGAGGACAGGTTGTAGGAGGACAGGTTGTAGGAGGACAGGTTGTAGGAGGACAGGTTGTGGGAGGACAGGTTGTAGGAGGACAGGTTGTAGGAGGACAGGTTGTAGGAGGACAGGTTGTAGGAGGACAGGTTGTAGGAGGACAGGTTGTAGAAGGACAGGTTGTACGAGGACAGGTTGTAGGAGGACAGGTTGTAGAAGGACAGGTTGTGGGAGGACAGGTTGTAGGAGGACAGGTTGTAGGAGGACAGGTTGTAGAAGGACAGGTTGTGGGAGGACAGGTTGTAGGAGGACAGGTTGTAGGAGGACAGGTTGTAGGGGGGACAGGTTGTAGGAGGGACAGGTTGTACGAGGACAGGTTGTACGAGGACAGGTTGTGGGAGGACAGGTTGTGGGAGGACAGGTTGTGGGAGGACAGGTTGTAGGAGGACAGGTTGTAGGAGGACAGGTTGTAGGAGGACAGGTTGTAGGAGGACAGGTTGTAGGAGGACAGGTTGTAGGGGGGACAGGTTGTAGGAGGGACAGGTTGTACGAGGACAGGTTGTACGAGGACAGGTTGTGGGAGGACAGGTTGTGGGAGGACAGGTTGTAGGAGGACAGGTTATAGGAGGACAGGTTGTAGGAGGACAGGTTGTAGGAGGACAGGTTGTAGGAGGACAGGTTGTAGGAGGACAGGTTGTAGGAGGACAGGTTGTAGGAGGACAGGTTGTGGGAGGACAGGTTGTAGGAGGACAGGTTGTAGGAGGACAGGTTGTAGGAGGACAGGTTGTAGAAGGACAAGTTGTAGGAGGACAGGTTGTAGGAGGACAGGTTGTAGGAGGACAGGTTGTAGGAGGACAGGTTGTAGGAGGACAGGTTGTAGGAGGACAGGTAGTCGAATTACAGAAAATAAATCCTCCTGCTGTAGTTTTCAACGTGTGGGAGGGAGTTGTAGTGGGTGGGAAATAGCACACACTGGTTACAGGTAAGGATACATTTAAAGGCCAATGTACATTTCAGCGAGATATCTTGAGGTTATCTTGAGGTTATCTTGAGGTTATCTTGAGAGGAGATAGTTGCCATTTTCTCCTTAGCTATTTATGACACAAGTAATTTACACACGCACACATAAAAACAATTTCTGGCGATTTCTACCGCATCTACTCTCTCCCGGGTAGATTTCTACCGCATCTACTCTCTCCCGGGTAGATTTCTACAGCATCTACTCTCTCCCGGGTAGATTTCTACCGCATCTACTCTCTCCCGGGTAGATTCCTACAGCATCTACTCTCTCCCGGGTAGATTTCTACCGCATCTACTCTCTCCCGGGTAGATTTCTACAGCATCTACTCTCTCCCGGGTAGATTTCTACAGCATCTACTCTCTCCCGGGTAGATTTCTACAGCATCTACTCTCTCCCGGGTAGATTTCTACAGCATCTACTCTCTCCCGGGTAGATTTCTACAGCATCTACTCTCCCGGGTAGATTTCTGTAGCATCTACTCTCCGTTTCTGACTGACCGCTGCCGCTCTCATCTGAATCACTCTCAATTTTCTGGATTTGAACAATAACATTCAATTGTTCAACTCTATTGGTATTTCCAGATTAAATTATTTAATTAATTTAAATTTTTTTTAGTTGAAATCCATTGCAAGTAAATTAATGAATCCAGAAGCTTCTTGGGAAACCAGGTTGACTCAAGGTACCAACTGAGAAGCAAAGTACTTTCCAAAAAGAGACAAACTGTGTAATATCGACTATTTCTGTACCAACCTACGTAACACCAATTGTATAATATGCAGCGCCAGCACGAATTTAATCTCTCGTCTCGTCAATCATCACGAAAATGAAGATAGCCCCTGACTTACGAGCCACAAACTGCTAAATTAGACAAAATAACACGTCACTGCAGGAGATAAGAAATAGAGGGGGAGGCATGATCACAGTATACAAAATACCAAGATGATAAACCCCATATACA